TTCGCTCAAGCTATAGCCCATGCGATCCGGCAAACACATTAGACCATAGTCCAGACACATCTAGAACTAATACCATCGATAGGGATGATATCGGTTTTTTTACACTCCATACTCCCTTTTTAAACTGATTACTTATTAACGCACGATTAGAAGTTAGCAGCTCAGTCAGTCGACATCTGGATAATGTACATTCTTCTCGCTGCATATTTCCAGCAACCACGATATTTCTGATTAGGCCTTCTGTGGTCTTACCAGCGAAAGGTCTTACACTTTTGAGAAACGCACCTGAATAGGTTGTGCGATTAATAAGCATAATGATGTATTGAAGCAAACAAAATTAGATAACTTGTTGAAATATCTAGATGACAGGAACAGGTAGCCCAGATGTAAAAACATGCCGCTATTATTTGCCTTGGATACCTTAACAACTAACAAAGTTGAAGATAGTGTCTTGAATAGTTTACCAGAATCGATCTAGATGTCAGTCAACACCCTGAATCATAGTCTACTACTAGGATGTGTATACAGAGCTCCAGATAGTTCGGATATTTGAATGATCTTATTATCAATGCATTTATACACGCATCTACTCTAAACTTCAGTGCTAAGATTATCACTGGTGATTTCAATTATCCTGGGATTAACTGGAGTACAGGTAGATATCAGTCCAGCAATGATGAACTTTCGTCAATCGTTAACCTGTACTGCTGGTCACAGTGAGTTCGTGTGTGAATGAGACTAGTCATGTGATTGGAATTAAAATATTTGGAATTGATATGTCTTCCGCTCATTCTTCATTGTATTCTCTTCACTTCAATTGTTTGATCAGTTTTCCATATTACTCCACACTACTTATCAGTATTGAGTAGTCCATTTCATCACTGTCTCATTCAAATGTATTATTGATGACATTGTGAGTATACACAATCCATACTGTTGGATCCTCCAATAATTACTGATGAATTTATTCCATTCATATTCAAACAACGGAACTGCATATTACTCAATAAATACCCTAAATGAACGATAATTGGTAGTTAGTGCATAGAGACATTAGCATATCACGAGAAGAAGAAGGCTGTCAAACGAAAATATGTTATTGAAGTGAAAAAAGAAGATTCAATTATTCAAAGAGCAGAGTTTATACCTGTTGTGCTGTTGTATGCATACAGGATATAGTCATTGGAAGATTAAGTCTAAGATTTCATCGTTCACTGCAACCACATGACCAATCCATTCACTGAATTATTCATTATCCGTTAGCCAGTAATGTTGTCAGTCGATTCCACAAAATCATGAAATACAAATATGATTTAAGATTGATGATTTACCATACCCGTTCATTGATATCTTAATAAGAATACAGTATAATATTTTTCAGTGTTGTGCATAGTCACTCACTCAGGCAATCGTGGTAGTGAACAGATTCATTCAGTGATGAGAATATGGAAATGAGTCATTGAACAGGAGGACGTAACGGAAACGGCTAAGAATCCTCATCGCGTATCGTCAGTGATTAGGAGACAATTTTGTTTGAATTTCACAAAGCATAAATGTAAATAAACACTGAGCGTAATACTAATGAATAAACATTGAATGATAGTGTGAATATAATAACTTGATGGGAATAAATGTCTTATTCTCTATATAACAATAAACATGCTGATTTAAGGGAAGGATATGTGAAACACAATATGAGGACAGCAGAGTCGAATGTGTAAATTGTTTGATGAAAAGAAGTAAATGCTTGTGTGAAGGCGTTCACCAAATAACGACAGCAACAATGATGGTGATAAAAGAAATAATTAATAATAATAGTGAATGATATAGGTAAAAATGGAGACGGAGATGGGAAATGGCCCATTTTGTAAACAAAGATTTTATTTCACACTGATAAGTGTAAATTGATAGGAAATCTAGTTGCCAGTTTTCCTATTCAATTTCAACAGCAGTGCAATGTTGAAACTGTGTACAACTTATGTTCAGCATCGATGATTAATGATGGAATTGAATCTAGAATCAGAGGAGTGAGTCATTAGCTGTTACAATAAAACAAATTGTCACTCTTTAATCAGCTGTCAATCTTGAAATTTAGTATAATGAATAGAGACAAGTGTGTCATTCACTTTGGTCATAATGACAGTTGTTCCTACCAGTATTTTCACTACCGCTTGGTTTTGTTTTATAACACTTGTCGTTTACCAACCATGATTCTTCCCCCTTGACTTGGTTTACTTGTGGAAATATCCACAAGATTCATTTACTTATTAAACACTTAAAAACATGCAAGCAGATTGGATCTAGAACGCTTGACTACAGTACAATCAAACTTGAGCGTGGTTCATGATAGGACTGTTTCAATCAGAATTAGGAAGCTATCCATGAGGTTAATCGTTATTTTGTGTGTACAGAAGTTTCCTACAGCGATTTTTGAAGGATGCGTATAGTTTAACGAATGGATACAAGTAAAATCTACAAACGTAATCCTTTTCTAACCACAATCGTACCTGTGGAGTTGTGTAGCAAAAAGCGATCTGTCATAATCATAATCATAATCGTCATCATAATCATCATCATCGTCATCATCAACTTGTTAACACTTTGTGAGTATTGAATAATTGTTGGAGTAAATTTATGGGGTTTCAACAGATAGATTTGCATGCACTAAAATTTAGTAGTATAGTGAAGATGAAGAAGCAGTCTGTAATGGTAATGCATGATATAATTTGATATTTGATTAGGTGTTTATGGTTAAAGTGATTAAAGTGCATCAAAGATCATGACAACCAGTCTAGGAATTGACAAAGAGAATAACACAGTTGGGAACAAATGAGACGGGAGAAATGATCACGTACTATTAGTGAGAAGAGTAAGACAATGATAAGCATTTACCATTGGAATCATGAACTACTTCGTTGTTGGTGACAGTTACGCCAATGATGTTCGAGAGTCAGAAAATGTAGTTTTACGTAATAGGATGCTTTGCCTAGTTAACTTATAATTATCTCAGATTCAAAGGAATCAGAAACGCATAACAGAATAAACCTAATGTACAATCAGCAGAAATTGCTAACAGGTTTGTGTTTTTCAGTGCGAAAACTCATTCATTTCTGAGCATTTGTTCATTGACATGGTTATTCTTAGGCTGAAGACAAGTTTATTTGTTAATAACTGAGAATCTCATTTGTGCAATGATAACCTCATTACCATGGTTGACACCGACATTGTCGAAGTATCTACACTGTGTGTTGATGAAGCGTTGTCTTCTACTATTCGCCAATTTTTCCATTTATGTCAAGATCCTATTTCGATGTAAGATATACATTCGTGTTGTGCTCCATTGAAAAAAATGTTCTGGAATATCAAACATTTACTGCTCTCCTGTTATCTACTTGAATTTCGTTACTGTTGAGATTAAGCTACTATGTCAATACTAAAAACCCTTCCTCTCTATTCTACTCCACGAATTCAAACATTCGAACAAAATCTGAAAACACCTCTGTTCTACAAAAAAAGTAACTTTCAATATCTCCAGTATTAGCGTTTTATTATTACTTCTACAGTTACAAACATATGTGTACAGATCAACCATCGAGATCGACCAATTCATGGTAGACGTGTTAACCAGCTTTAAAAAATAAAACAAAAATCAAGTACAGTCATGAGGAGTTTCCACATTAAATAAGTTAAATAATGCTGTTTACACAGACTGGATTGAAAGTGTTAAAATTATTCATGCTATAGATGTTGATGAACATCCTTCATAAGGGTTTATGTCTTCCAGTAATCTTATGAATAATGCATCAGTGTTTCGAACGTCAGGTGAATGATTCAGAACTAACTGACAGGTATGAAACAGAACTACATCAGTACCACAGATGTCCTTACACTTAAGAATTCAAAATGATCTTTCATAAATACGTAATGGTTAGGATATTTTTCACTATACATCTAACAGTTGAATAAACTTAACATAAAATATTATGTTATCAACATATTGCAACACGAAAAGTCAGTATAGTTTGCATTAAGGGATCATTCATAGGAAACAATGAACATTAGTGGTTGTTTAAATCAATCTCTGGTATTTTGAATAATGCTATGCTATGAACCATTTCTGCCACTTTCTATCAGTTATAGTAAGATTATGTTAAAGTATGATTTCATATAAGGTGTGTTGTGGTGTTAAATCTTCGAAGGATTAAGGAAATAAGTGAACGGTGAACAGATCGATAATTCGAATACTGGTTGCGAAATATGGCACGTGATATTTATTGATTTTTCAGTACATGGTGAATCAGTGATCGCAAGGCACAACAGATTGACTGCGGTTGTTGTTTGTGTCTACGATGTCAGTCTGCACTGTCATACAAGATATTCTTGGATCAACAATATGATTTTACCTTAATTCAAATTCTCACGTTTTACCATACGAATGTCATTCCAGCCGAATTTGATGAACACTGAAATCATAAAATTAAACAAATGATAACGTGCACTATAAGGTAACGAAGATGATATGTGATATGATAACTAATTTTCAAAGAAACAATGAAAAAGGTTACGATGAACTACATGAGCTGCACACTTATTCACAACTTGTCTAAGCACTAATAAAATGCATCGAATTAATGTACTTACACAAAAATTTACTGAATTCGTTCTTCAAAGCATAAAAAGTATTGAAATCTTCATTGACCTTCTGAATTTCTTTTAGGAAAATAAACAACATGAAAATAAACAAATTGATTTGCTTCAATAATGATGAAATAAGCAAGACAATCACTCATTGCAAACTAATTCTTATACAACACATTAATGATAACTGACGTTTTTGACATGACATCTACTATATAGGCAAGTCACTTCATCATTCACTGATATGATTTCACTATGAAATTGAACAAACAATAAGGATTTGTCTTACCTTCAATATATTTTGGTGGTACGTTGACGTAACACATTGAACCATTGCGAATGTCTGCCCTAACTGTTCAATTGAGAAAAACAAGTAATTTGAAATACATATTCAACGACATAGAAAAATTATGTCAAACTGATGCTCGTTGAGTTTGTTACGCGAATCACATATCGTTTTGTGTTCAAATGTCTGTGCACGAAGTTACTGGTAGTATGTTTGTGCAGTGATAGTTCAAAAGATGCAGGTATGCCAATGATGGACACCTTGTCTAATAAATGGGTAAACAAAAGTTAGTAACCAGCATCATGATGGCTTGCTGTCTGAAATCATCTGTACCATCACCATTGAATTTGTTAACAAATTATACGTGCGTGTATTTTCAACTCAAATCACAACCAGTTTTATATCTCACTGATTACACAGACTGTTCACCTTCTCATCCAATGACTACTACACTTTCGTTGTCAGAACCTATTTCAACTTCACATGTTTCCATAATGATAACAATGGAAGCGCAACTTCTCAGTCATCATTCCACTGAATATGTATGTGACATTGAAACTGTTTACTGCAAGTTGAAACGGAAGACTAGCATCAAAGGGTTCACTTCTCCGTCGGCATTGTAGTGTCAATAACAAACTAGATAGCAAAAATCTTTTATATGAATTATTAAACTGCAAAATGTCGAGGGATACAGGTGTGAGCGAACATTTTGCAATTATATCACTCACTTTGATGACGCTTCTTTTGTTTATCGGAGCACTTGATCAATTTAGTGAAGCTATAGTTGACAACTAGGGCTGGTGAAGTAGATAAATTTGAAACATTTGTCGAATTACTAAAATGACCGCTCTATTGAAAATGTAATCAACTATCTTATTTGTAAGATGAATTGATCACAGCTCATGGATGTAGAATAGACTGAACTGAAAACTTACGACTTTTAAATTTGTTGAATTGAATGGTTTCTATCACATCTGAAAGTGTATGATCAAAGAATCCGATGTTGTATGATCGTAACAACGGTATTGTGAAATTCACAATATAAGCTCATTCAGTGAAAAGACAACGAAGAATTCCGCAGATTATTGCATCGTTCACTGATCACATTCATCAGTTATTAGGTTATTGTTAGGTCAAATACAGAGACTTTAAACTTAACGGTGAGCCCGATACATTGATCATCGCATACACAATGATCAGAGTGTTGAGGCGTGAAGGAAACTAAACAAATTAACTCAGCATACACAACACGACTGAATATGTGAGTATACAGTAACGACCAATGCGACAAACTTCATATCCACATTTTATAACCTGTATAAAATGATAATCTGGGTTACGAAAGAGAATCCACCATACTAAAATGAATTCCCACAACTTCTATTGCATCAAAAAAAATAGATTTCGGCCAAAAACATACCACTGAAAGTTCTTGCTCCATATTCGCTTTCATAATACACGCGTCGACATTTGATTGCTAAATTTGATAATTTCATCACTTCAACATTATTAGTCGATAACCTACCTTGATCAGACTGCACACCGTGACTTTTCAAATTTGCTTTGATTTCCTCTATGAACCAATACATTTCATAACAACAGCATCATATTGTAGTATACGATTATGAAGGTATTATCAAACTTCATGGTTTCAAACTTATAACTAACTTCATTTTAACAGTCATCGAAAGAAACTATGCAATTGGCACCCGATGTGCGGGCTCACTTCTGACCATCGGTGATTTTCTACTTGCATACGGACAGCAACACACAACTATAGGAAACTGCATTATTCACAACTTTGTTACAAATTGTTTAAACAATGCTTACTCACATACTTATCAGAATAACGATAGCATGAAATAACGTGGTACGTTCCTTGTTTTGTTCTTTTCAATATACAACCATTTTCGCCTGACCATAATATTCTCTATTCGAAGTTGTTTTATTCACACTCCTATTGCTTGAATCTTTCATCAAATGTTTCATTATGTGTGACTACAGAGTGGAGACTGACTCAGAGAGCCATGAATGCATCTTCCTCAATTGTATTCAGGAACAGTGAATTCAAGAATCTTTCAAATGCAATGTTATCAACTGAGAACGATCCACTCCACTCCCTTGCACAGACTATCCTATCAAATCAACGTGATCGATAGTCGTTTGAACTGTTATAACGAGACGAAGAGTTACAAAGTTTGACAGTTCAAGACTTTTCTTCGATTAAATATCATTGTCAAAATTTTCACTGTACACATAATGGATATTTAGTTGTTGCATTCCGACATTACCATAATGTAAGCTTTCAGTGGACCTTTTGGCTAATTTTTATTTATTTCATGGTTGAGTTGTGGACACAGGAAACTGATCTACTTTATTTATGAGTCTTCGCATTATGTACACGGTTTGATGGATATCGAGGATCTGTAATTGATAAATCCGTGATCGTGTTTCAGTGGTCACTCAGTTATGTCGTGAAATATTTTATTGGTCTAACTGACGGAGTAAAACATGGAATTGACCTGTATATGAATTCCCAACATACAAGCCATTTCAAGACACAACACGTATCGTGAGGAAGTACGCTTGAAGAACAAGCAACCCTATTTATTCACCTTATTCAGGCACACGCGAAATCAACCGTTCTCCATAGTTCACAACCGTAGTTGTACAGTTTACAGTTTCATTGAACAGTTAATGTATCTGACAAACAAATATCCATGATACTTAATCCACAGTTTGTAAATTTAACTCAATTATCCATGATCTGGAATCTGGCAATCCGTGAGTGCAGTCAATACACACCTCTCAACCAGAAACATCAGTAAACTTCATGGGGTCACTTTTGGTGATGATCGATCAACAGTCATATTCAATAAATTTGAGAAATTCAAATAATTGATTTACCTATTCGCTTGTTGACAGAAGTTTCCATTCTTCGTACATTTATCTCATACCATTCCAACTCATCTGTGAAAAGGTTATAGAAATGTTTGTCTTGGTTGAAAAACTTATCTCACTTTGTTACTAAAAGATGAATGTGGGGAATTGTTTCCTTGATGGATGACAAACGTATAAGATTACCGAGATTCGGAAGTTCGTAAGTTCACTCATTTCATAAACTAATATGTGCTATGTGTTGGGAAACATAGATGACTGGATATATAGGTAACGACTACTCCCTAACAATGAACGACATACAATCTTCACATAAATCTGTCGTATACTATTGGAATGAAACCCTCGATGTTCGAAAGATTTAGGTCAGTATCTCTAATGCACTGTGATTTATGATCTTTAGCAGACAAGGAAAATCACATAACATGATATCGGTTAGTAAATAATGTTAAATATTGAATAAATGATTCAGTGCATAAGAGAGATAAAGAAATGATAACTTGCGTTTATAACGTTTCATCATTTTTTCATTATTATCCATTTCATTTTGTGAACATTTCACTTCTAGATATCAGAGAAATTTAACATGTCAACTACTAATTCACACAACAAGTAAATCATGGTCATAGAAATGCATCATAAAGGAGATGGTGGAATTGAAATGTGTATAATTGAACTTGACAATTGCATATGCGTATAGAGGTGTAGCTTTCTCTTTTTACTGATATAAAAAACATGACTTAAACAAAGTAGGATCCGTTTGTCAGTTGAGGTTATAATTACGAAGTACCGACACAAAAAAATTCATTATAGGCTCACTGGTCATTAGATTGGAACTGACTTTTCCATAATTATATAAGGGTGTGTTGACCAATATATCAAAACATGTCAAGGATGAGAGAGTTTATTCATTATGCTTGTTCGAAGATTACACAATTCCTCTTAAAATTATTGAATTTGAGAGTGAGAACAATCGAAAAGTGAGTCAGTGATCTAATTACGTCTTACATGTCATGAGACATGAATCAAATTTTTGTTTCCCATGATTGGTTGACAATGTTTAAGAGATTGTGACAAGCATTAAACCATGGTTCAGTGTTATCTGCTTTCATCCATAAATGAATCAGATCATTCCGTGTTCTTGCAACACGACTTAATTTTTATCAATTCTAAGTCACATTCTCATTAAGTCAATAACCACAAAACGCAAGGTAATTGTAAGGACTAGTTTCGAATACCAAGGATTCCAATCGTCATCTTCGCAATTCTGTTTCTACTTTGATAGTGTGGTAACAAAGCTACAATCCAAATAGCTTATCAATCGAAATAGATCACAATCAGAACACTATGTTAATGGTAACTAGTCAAGTATGTTTGAAGTGAATTTTGGTCAAATAAAACATTTTATGAATAATCGAATACACTTACCATTTTGTATGGTTATACACAGAGACAGAATAATGATGATGCCGTTGTATGCCATAGAATGATTTATGATTCTGATGTTTCTACTCATAAAACGAAGCCATCTCTATCCTTTTATATAGTGAATAAAGAACAAAATTGTTATCACCAATCACATTGTGATGAATACAGTAAAATATTTAAATAACTATGTATCGCGTTTTATCTGATGATTTCAATAATTCACCTTCAAGGTCGTTCCAAATACAAACACCCACACACATATAGATAGGAAGTATTTATTTGATCGTATTACCTTTTGTTACTTAGATTTACTTAATGGATCATTGTATAACAAAAAACCAAAACCAGAATAGTTCTATCTGAAGTGTGCCAATCTTCTGTTTGACAAACACTGATATGCTCAAAACATTCTACAAAACTCTATAGAAAGTTCATCAGACTGAAGAAATATTTCTTCTTACCAATTAGTTCTTCATTAGGGCTCTATTCAAATAGTTACGTTGTACAAATCGATACCATTTAGATGATGGAGAGTCCAGTTACCAAGGTCATTGTCAATTAGTATCAATATTTAAAAAATTCAAATCATAACAGCAATGAGTTTCCATAATCACCTACCTAATTATCACAACTAGTTACATAAGAGGAACAATGAGAATGGCAATTAACTATAAATATATGATGTTTTTGTTGCTATTGAAAATATAAAAACAATTTCAGTAGGATTTCTGCAATAAAAATAGACAATAAGATTGAAGTTATCAATGCCATGGTTGGACGTGATAGTTACAAATAGATGAAGCATTTGGTAGATAGTTAGTAACCGAATTCAGTTATTTATGTTCTCTGGGGAAGTGAGTCAAAGGTATTTCTTTGATCGTATTACCTTTTGTTACTTAGATTCAATTAATGGATCATTGTATAACAAAAACAAATCAAGAATAGTTCTATTGAGACTGTGTCAATCTTCTGTCTGACAAACACTGATATGCTCAAAACATTCTACAAAAGTCTGTAAAAAGATCATCAGACTGAAGAAATATTTCTTCTTACCAATTAGTTCTTCATTAGGGCTCTATTCAAATAGTTACGTTGTACAAATCGATACCATTTAGATGATGGAGAGTCCAGTTACCAAGGTCATTGTCAATTAGTATCAATATTAAAAAAATTCAAATCATAACAGCAATGAGTTTCCATAATCACCTACCTAATTATCACAACTAGTTACATAAGAGGAACAATGAGAATGGCAATTAACTATAAATATATGATGTTTTTGTTGCTATTGAAAATA